CACATGACACAGTAGCCTCAGTAAACGTGTTTTTCTCCTGCCAACACTGCCCATTGCTATTTGGCTTGGGGAAGCTCACAAGTGCCCTCTTTTCACTGTGTTTTCACTGATAGCTGAAACACCACGCAAAGCCAAAGAAAAGATGTGAAGATTACTTCTTTTGAGCTTAAAAAGAAACTTCTTCCTGTTTCAGGTAACTATCCCCTTTGGTTTGTACTGAGAGAGTACAAACCAGAGTAGCCATGCTGTTTCTACAATAACCACAGCAAATCTGGGTCAAGACCTGCTAGGCAGCTCTGGCCCAAGGCCCATCCTCTCTGCAGCACCAAGCAGACCTTATACTTGCTGGGATCTTTCCTCCTCTCTTGCTTCCAGAGCCTTTCATGCACCGCTTGCCCAGAGCAGCCAGTCTGCAGTGGGCAGACCACCAGCTGCAACAAGCAGCTCCAGCAGCAGTAGCTGCCCTCAAAATAACCCAACCAAACAGAATAGAAACTGCCTGATAAAAAAAGTACCAGGAAAAAACCCAGCACAGCTCCCTTCCTTACCTCAAAGGATCATTGTGTCTGAATCCCACCTCATTGGGATGCATCACCCCAGACAGGAGGAAGTTTCTCAGACGCTCTGCTTGCTGTCATTTTTAACTTCACTGCCCCACACCCTGGGTATCTTCTTCCTCTTAGTTCCAATACATGAAGATAAAGAAATCTAAAGCAGTATCACAGTGTGAGGCCTCTGACGCCTCAGCTGGGAGAAGGGGACTCTGGGAACATCCAAAACTCTGTATCCCATGAGCTCTGGTGAGACTGAGTGATTATTTCTACATTTTGCTCTCTACAGCCTTTTTACACTTCCCTTTCACAACATTTAAATCCTTTTTCTAGTCTCACTTCTAGTCTGTCCCAAGGGACACCCACTCCTACATTAAAACCAAGCCACAGACAAGATGGAAAGTCTATGGAAGGTACCAGAAAGCTACAAGAGTCAGCAAGGACTCTGGTAATGGCCTTTCAGTCAGAATGAATGCTGAACATGGAAGAGTGCTCTTCTTGGGAACCCTCCCAGACCTTCAGCCTGCATGAATAAGCCAGCAATGAACAGAGGCAGGAAGAGAGGAGATGCATTACCACCTCAGCACCACCTCCCTTAACAAATCCCTGTCCTGGCAGCTGCAGCAGAGTCCAACCCTCCCTTTTTTCTAATTCTTCAGAATATCTTAAAGATCAGGAGAAAAAAAATCTGAGTGATCCCAAAGGCACAGGTCCTTCATCCTCTGCCAGAAACTCATACCCCATCACCAGGGAGCTGCTCTGTTCCAAAAGAGAAGCAGAGAAGAAAAATCTGTATTGCCATCATCCCCTGCTGTAACCTCACAGAACACGGTCAGAGCACTCTGAGCCAGGCAATAGAGGAGAGGTAAATGTTCCTCTCCAGTCACCTGGAAAATCCTGCTCCAGACTAAGACATTAAAGAGTTGCATAGGGATAGTCACACAGTATCTCTGAACCATGGAAGTTCTCAGGCCTCACATTAGGAAGAATCAGAAGTTTCAACCAACAACAAATACTCTCCCTCACCTTTTTATCACTCCACGTACCCCCCATGGTACCCTCTAATCCTCTTTACCTCCTGATGTTCAGTTCCATACCCACCACCCTAGTGAAGGAAGCAGAGCACAGACAGACTGCAATTGCATTGAAAAGCGAAGGTGAACAAAGCCTTACAAATAACTCACCCCTCACGAAAATGCTCGGACACAGCAGCCGTCCCACCCTGCTGATACACAATCCCTCTGTAGTTCTTCATTACCACTCCCCAATTTCTCACATTCTGCCACAAACATACACACAAGCTTTCCAGAGGAATAGACTCTGAGGTGTCAAAATGAGCACCAAAGAATAAGATCTTCAGTCAGCTGTGGAATGTGAAGTAGGTGGGATGCAAAAGCCATTATAGCAACTCCTTTTCTTGAAGTCAAGGGACTCTAAAGATAAAAAAAAAGTCAAACCAAAATGGACAATCCTCACAGAACAATGTGCAGCAGAAATGAAGTGAGTTGGGGTATTCTCTGTACACTTGGCATCTCCATCCAGATGGCGGGTCTCCTGTGTCTGCCTGAGAGCTACAGAGCTCCACGCTTCTGCCGAGGAACTGAATTAGCAGGTGAAGTAACAAAGGAACTGGCATCCCAAAGATTCACACCCACCTCATTTTCTGCATGAGGATTGTGCTCTGCATGGAGATGGGAGGGTTCTAACTCTTGGATCCACAGAAGGGCAGGATCCTGCCCTTCTCTCCTCCATTTAGGCTTCCACTGTCTTACTGATGACTCTGCACCTTCCTGCTCCTCAAAGACCACAACCCTTTCCCCTCACTGCATTCATCAGTGACTTTAAACCTTTTTTAAAGCTTTTTTTTTTATGGACTATAAACCACTGAAGTCAAGGCCTGCCTCCTTCTATTCACATTTAGGGTAGAGCCTTAATCCCAGCTGCAGTCTGCTGGCAGTTCAGGGGACATCCACACATCCAGCTAGGGTTATTACAGTGGAAAGCTGTCCTATCCCACCAGGTAAAGACACTCACGGTGAAAGCCCAGAGTGCAATGAACATACATGCACCAAGGACTCAATTCTTCAGTGTGCTGAGCTGTCTGGGCCTAAGCCACTAAAACACAAATAGGAATTGAACTACAGGGCACTGGTGGGCTCCTACAGCCACAACACTGCCTCTCCCTGCCTTCTTCAGCCAAGCTGAGGAGTTGGAGCAGATTCAGGTACTTATATATAGGTGCTACTTCTTCAACTTATGTAGAAGAAAACTCCTTTGCTTCACTGCAGTTACTGGATGAAAGCTAATTATACAGCTTAAGCGCTCTGCCAAGCCAAAGGTGAAGTGTTCAGAAACTTGCAAAAGCAGTACTGAGATACACAGAATTTCTGCAGGAAGGAAAGAGTTGACTTCTCTGTTATTGGACTACAGGGATGAACAAAAGGGAGCCAAATTTTCTACTCTCAACATTTTTATAGGATAGCAACCTTCCTAGCATGGTTATTTATAAAGAAATATTACAGACTGTGTTAAATTATACACCGCAGAATTTCAAAAGATGACTTTAAAACGATGATTCTTTTTTTCCTCTTCTATACACATTTAGAGTAATTTCTAGGCAACTTTATTTATTTCCAAGTCTATATTTAAGGATCCCATAAGGACTGTGGTATTTCCATGTGTACCTCTCGCTGCTTGATTCTTATCTGCAGCAGCTAAAGTCGTTTGAATTCAAATACTTGTCTCAAGCCTGACACACCGAGGAGAAAGCGGGTATGAGAAGGCTTCCCTGGAGAGCTTACGAATATGTTACGAGCACAGAGAGGGCTTAAGTGCTGGTCTGAGGTGCCCAACAGCAGCACATTACCCAGGAGCCGCATCAGCTCGGTTGCCATGTTCTTGTTATCTACATTCAGAGAGGAACTAACAACTAGGAGCACCCGTAAGGCTGAGTAAAACAACAGCTTTGTAACTGCACAGAGAGGCTCCTACTCCTCGGCTTTCACCAGGGTTTCCCGGGTCTCAGGCACCTGAACATATCTGCAATTTCCCCTCATCTTTATCAGAGATTCTCTGTCTGGCCTGAATGGGACCCCACAGATACCACAAGGGCACGACAAAGTGAGCAGGAGACAACACTTCTCCCTGTTGGAACTGGGGGGGACTGCAGAAAAGGACCAGCAAAGGCTCCAGCTGACAGAAGCAGCTGCAAAAATAGCCATGATAAAGGACTCCTGCCATTCTGGGAAGCCTCCTCAGACCTGCCTGGCCTGTCTCCTCCTTCCCTCTGCCTTACAGACTCTCCAGCTCAGCTGCATTAAGCCCCAGCCTTTTTCTACCCTTCCCTTCCTTCCACCATGGGTTGTTAGACCAAATGTTAAGTAACGTGTCACTGGAGTTTCTCATGCCTGAAAAAAAAAAAAAATCAAAGAAAACTGCAGTAAATTGTTTTAAAGCCCTTCCATTCACAAAGTTAGCACAATTCAGCCAAGGACAACTTGAAGGTCATTAGACCAGATCCAAGACTAAAGGCAGGGACTCGTTCAGTCGGCTGTCAAAGACTAGTGTGATTGGTCTTGTTCTTTTAGCAAGAGGTGTTTCCTGCCTGTAGAGGTTTAAAAACACACACACTTAACAGTTTACATAAAATTATAACATCACTCTATATTACATTCTATTTAATAATTTCATCCTCTGCAAAATAGTTCAACGCTAACAGAACAACCCGCTACGTGTTCACACAGGATTTTCTGTGGGTTCAACAGGATTTTCTATAGGTTTTATAGTGAATTTACTATGTGCAAAATGTTTTCTTTCCTCACAGAGAAAACACAGCCATGTTAGAAGTCAAGTGTGTTTCTCTGGTGCTCTCTTGCCCATCAAGCAGAACTCATAACAAGCTGACAGGGATGGTCTGAAAAATTAACACACAAGCTAGCACATGGTGGTGTCCTCACTAGGCAAGGCAAATTTCATTTCAACCCCTGTAGAAACAAACCCTGGGAATAAATCCAGATGTTACCTTTGTCAGAAAAGACAGACTGCTGCACAAGCACTAAGCATGTCAGTTAATACACTATAACTCACCTTTTTTTATTCCTCAGTGGAAGCAAGACCTAGATAAACCAGTGTAGAAGCATTGTGCAGGGCAGCCTTTCACTTTCCAGCTGAAACTTCTTCCAAGGACATCAGCTCTAGGGGTGAATTTATAACAGGGCACTTGTCCACTAAAACTGAACTCATCCTCACAGCCCACCCAACCCCTGAGTCACCAGACTATCTTTTCTCCTCAAGGGCTACACAGATCTAGAGGGTGACTCTTCCTGCCTCTCTGCTGCTGAGATCTCACACTAACCCGTTATGATAAATAAATGCACTTTCATTTCAAGACCTATGAATAAATAGACACATGCACATACAGATACAAACAAGGCATGTCAATTCTCTTACCTGAGCCGTTTCTACTTTCAGGATGATTTTGTGAAAGATATTCTCCAAAAGCCCTTGCTGCTCTGCATATCCAAGCATCACAGAAGGCATCAAAGGAGAGAAAGAGATGGGTAATGGTTAAAGGCCAAGGAAAGAAAGAGCAGTTCAATATCAATACACTGCTGTTTTCCTGCAGCTGCCTTTCCCTCAGCTTCAGGTGACACTAATTTAAACATGCTGCAATAGCAGTGGGGGCTTCCTGGTTAACAGACCTCAGTCTTCCCCTGGCCAAAGGGGATAACAGACTACAAGCACAGGACTATTTTAGGCTTTAGCTTCTCTGTTAAAACAAAAAACCCCATGAAATGCACCTGCATTAAGCTTGGCCCTATTTCAGTGATGCACATAGGAACTGGATCACTGTCTCTAACCTCCCCAAATTAAACAGTTAAACCCTTCCTGGCAGTTCAAGAAAGAAGGTATCTCTACCCCGGTCCCAACCATCACCCCAGCCTTCTACTCCAGTTCTGAATACTCCTATCTGTGAGCTATCACAGCTTAGACATTAATGCTAATACCCATTTTACCTACCTTAACCCTAAATTCTCGAGCACCAACTATGTCAGTATTTGGATTACTGGATAACCTCATTTGAGAAACTTCGACAACACCCCACAAAAGCAGTTCCTGGTTCTCTGATGGATTCAGGTTCCACGGATGACTGAGATTTTACTGAAATATATTAAGAATCAACCAGGCTCAACCCTTATCACACATCAAGGCCTACATAAGAGAGAAAACCAATGAATCCTCCAACCAAGAAAAAGCTTTCTGCTTGCAACCCACCCAGGAAAGGAATCCTTGGTCAAAGCATGCATTCCCTGGTATACAGTAAATACAATCTCCACTTTTCTATTGCCAGGCCATTTGTAACATCCAGCTGCTGTGCTTGTTCTCCTGTACTCAACAGACCTGTGACTCAAGAAAGCTAATACCAGCTTTTCCCCAGCCATCCATTTTCCTCAGGTTTGTACTTTGTAGAACAATCTCTCCAAGGTCTGCAGCATCACAATCAGGCTGATATTTGCCAATGAACAGTCCAGGGTGAAGGTTCACAAAAAGTGAGAGAAAACAACCACCCACCTAATGGGAAAGCCAGGCCAGCAAAGCCCAGTAGCCAAGCACTCTCAGCCTGCAAGGACACCAGTAACTCTTGGGGGAAGAAACAAAGACTTGATGCAATAGGGAAGACTCTCCACACCAAGGCATCGTGTCCACTGTCCTCCACCTTCAGAGGTGCTCAACCTCAGAACATCCCTCTACAGTTCAAGCTGCCACAAAAGGCTATGCTCATAACAGCCATTAAACATCTCAGTGGAAAACGGCTTTGACCTCCAAAACAACCTTCTGCTTTGCTATCTGACGCAGCAGCATATCCCAACTTCTATAGCTAGGATTTTCCTTCACTGCTTTTATACACCTCCTCCCAAAGGGGAAAAGATGAACAAAACTACAACGTACCTCCCGAGCAACTAGAGCTGGAAGGAGTGGGAAGTCCATTTGTCATCCACAGCCAGCAAGAGGGGATCAATATGAACGAGTAATTTAATCTCCCTGGGACTAAATTTCAGCACAGCCAAATGCAAAATGCTTTGGAGCAGTGCCGCTGGAGCTGTGCAAGAAGCAAGGTTTAACCTTCTGCATAATTCCAGCCTAACATACAGTGCTGAGGTTTTTTTCTGTTTCCAGATTCTTGCCTGTCTAGTAGTAGGCTGTGCCTTTGGACCCTAGCCTGGCGTGGCAGTTGCCCAAACTGTCTTCCTCAATGCCTGAGCACCCCTAGACACGGTCATGCAGAGGCTGTGTAAAATGGGAAGCTGTACAATTAGTACACAATCCTCACTACAAAAAACAAAGGGATGACCATCACGGTTCACGATACAAGAGGACAGGTGCCTCACAGCTGTTCCTTGCAACCACTGTCTGGTCAAAAAGCAGGACTTGGTCCTGGGGAAACACACAAATGTAAAGCTGGGAGCTGGAGCGTGGCAACTTCAGGTAAGTGGTTGAGTCACCACCCCTGTAGGTATTTAAGAGACATGTAGATGTGGCATTGAGGGACAAGGTTTAGTGGTGGACTTGACAGTTTACAGTTGGACTTGATCTTAGGGGTCTTTTCCAACCTAAACGATTCCACGATTCTACAATTCTAACATCAGGCTATGCAGCTGCAAGAGCACTCCTGAGCTACTCCTGCACTCCACCTGAGAGGTGGTTAAGGCTCAGCCAGAGCCACGGCTGATCTCATGTAGCACTGGCAACAGTCCTGCTTTGAGCAGATGGCTGGGCTCGACACTTCCAAGATCCCTTCAACTAAGACTTCTGTGACTCCAAGGCTTCCCATGGAAACGTCTGTCCTTACAAGACATCATCAAGACTCACAAACAGGGTGCTTACACCCTTGGGAAAGACTTTGAAGCTTCTGTGCAGCAGCTGTAGAAAAAAATAACAGCAAGCAAGTTCTCAGGTAAATTATCAGTGAGAAAACATCGTGATTTACACCAAAAGCGCTAAAATATGATAATAAAATTTAGTCTGTAACTAGTTTAAAAGCTCCAAGAGCATGTTAGTTCATCTGTCATTCTCTCCATTTATCTCTCTGCTAATGCCCAAAGCTGATCTGTCTCCCTTAAAATCTGAAACAATGCTTCACCCTTAGCTTGCAAACCACAGGCTCAAAAAAATCAGTACCAAGCACCTCCTAAGACCCAAACTGCAAACGGCTAACACAAAGCCAGAGAGAAGCACTGCTGCCCTCCATCCTACCTTCTTCCTCGGTGAAAATAGCGTCACTCAGAGTAAGACCCTGAGTTTAAAGGTGCTGCAGTGTCCCTAACCTCACTCTCCTGTTTCCTCAAGCAGATGAAGGAGGAGGGTAAAATCGCAAGTGCCAGAGGTCCTAGAGAACAGACCTCTCCTTGCAGGTCAGAAGCACACTCGAGAAGCGCACTCACTCAAAAACATTGTTGCTTGGGCTGGGCTGAACCCGCGGCTCTGCCACTACCGTTCCACTTCCACTGCTCTCAGACGCTGCAGGCCAGCCTAAGAGCAAATGAATGCGGACGCTTGATCACAGTTATCCAGCGACAGCTAATAAGGCAACGATGCCTGCACGGTACAATGTTCGGCGGGGGTTTTCCAGCCAATTACACCGCAAACTTCAGACTAATTTTTTTGCCTATTATCTCAGTGGTTGCCTTCTACATTCCTGCTTCCCAGTGCCATTGGCTTTTCCTTGGCTGTGCCTCAGCTGATCTCCCACAGATGTCTGCATGTGCCCTTTGCCAAGGGGACTCTGCTGGCCACGCTAGCTCCTTATGCCTGTCTCCCCTTGCCAACCCTTTTGTGTTCCTTCTCTGCCCTCACTGCGCTCACAGTCACCCAGTTTACCAGCATCTGCCCATATCATTAACGTGCCATTTACCCCCTCTCCTTGGCTACCCACTGACTTGATCGAAATAAAGCCAGAGCAGAATTCAAACAGATGGTAGCTGCTCTATTCATCCCATTCTTTTCTATTTCTTTTATCAACACACTGTATTAATACAAGTCACACAATCGTGCTTTTCTTTCAGCTCAGTTTTGCCCTTATTGTCACAGTCAACATAGTTCAAGTCCCATCAAGCCACTTGATGGCTGGACAGATAACCCCTTAACTGGGCTCGGAGCAGAGACACCCCAGGATAATTTAACTGGCAAGAGATAAAAAAAGGAAACTTGTTTCACATAAATGAGATAAAGTAGAAGGTGCCTTACAAATAACACGGGCCGATGAGCTATAACCCTGAGTGTATGACACTGCAAATGCTGCATACAAATGAGCAGGTAGTACTGAGAGGTAATCAGCTGATGACAAGTTTAGCCCTGACTCATCTAGAGAGAGGTTTTTGTTTTAGTAGCAAATCAGACCTGCATGTTACACAGTCAGCATAGCTTGATTTAACAAAAGGACACCAACCAGGGACCATAGCCCTGGTACGCTGCACTACTGAGTCTAACCAGTAAAGACAAGACTGCCATTGCCTCAGAGAAAACACCACCATCTTCTCCAGCTTCTTCTCCATCAAAATGGCTTCAAGAGCGCAGAGGGTGGGATGGGGTAGCACAACACAGGCGACAAAGGCAGCTGCCCTTCGGAGGGCATTTTTTAGTACTCACTGCGCATTAGATGTCTCAGGTCTGGACAAGAAACTTGAGATTTTGCAAAGAAGCATAGACAGTCTAGACATACATTTGCTAGAAGGAGGAAAGCCGCCAAATAACAAAGATCTCAATTACAATGTGATGAGCATGGAACAGCCTTCATGTCTCTGAAATAATCACATCAACAGGATAAAAAGGGCCTTGATGCACACAAATTTATGCAAGCCACCAAACTGATGCTGAACTATGTGAAGAGATGGGTACTGAAACACTCAAAGATACACAAAAGACCCGAGATAACTCCATTTAGAGCATAGCAGCAAGCTAAGCAAAACCTGGATACTCCTGGACTATTCAGGAGTATTACATGGAAAAACAAAGAACACCCACCACCTTCTTGTGTTCCTTCAGAAGTACTGCCCAGAGGAATTGCAGCAGGAATCTGTTGTGACAGCATCTGACAGTGCTGAATCTCAGGGAAACAGAAGAGAAGAGACCTCTTGCATCATCAGGACCTACGTCCTCCTACAGCAGCAATCCTGCTCTTGTCACTAAGCAGAGAGGGGAACACTGCCAGCATATCCACAGTTAACAGCTCAGTCATGAAAAGACTGTTGACACCTACGTTGTTTAAACCTAATAGTAACAATACCCTGACAAAAAATGGGTTTCTGAAATATCTATGTAGGGAGATGGTAGCTGAAAAAATTTATTTTTAAAATTCTAAATTCTCACTGTCAAGAAAGGGAAATCGGATGTCAGCAATGGATCTTAAAGTCAAAGACCCCATAGTCTAACTTGGACAGAAGGAGAGAGGACAGCAGGAAGAAGTTAAAAGAACAAGATAATCAAAGCATGAAAGTTCATACAACTCACAGGAAAATTCACAAGCTGAAAAAAGGAACCTAGACTCCATGAAGAACCCTGATCTAACTGAAAAATTGCTCACACATTAAGAAACTTGGGATAAGGAACGCATTCATGTGCCTTGACATTTTGTTAGTGCAAGATTTACCCTTTTGCAGCAATTAACGCTTTGTGGCCCTGTTTAAACTCACTCTCTAGCTCACTCTAGTCATTAGAGAGGGAACGAGACCAAATTCATTCCTCTCTGTGGATATCTTGGTCTAGATGCCAAAGTCCTGAAACTGGGTAAGATGAACCACATTCTTGACTCAAATATTTCTTGTGCTAACTATAGCAAACACCCAGCAAAAGTCTCATGTGTGTTTGCTCACACTATCACACGCTCCCAAGGAAAAGCTGTAGGCCGGAGCAATACAAAGCAGAGCTGCAGGAAAAGCCATACTTTATTGCCACATTTGGGGTGCCAGTATTGCCTGTGGGCAGCAAGGACAAAGAGAGTGCATTTCTAAAGGCTTTGGTTCATCTATGCCCTTAAAAGCGTGCTGAGGAAGCCAAGGAGTGTGTGTCGGACACAACTCAGG